GGCAGTTTCTGCTCCAGCTGAACATACCAAGTGCCCTCAGTGTCCTCCCATGGCTTCAAATCCAGGCCCTTCCCCATCTCTTTGCCCTCCTTTGGACACTCTCCAATGGCTCAATATCTTCCTAATACTGTGGTGCCCAAACTGCCTCAATGCTGCAGGTGAAGCTGCAGCAGTGCAGAGTAGAACAGGAATGTTCTGTCCTTGGGGCCATCCCTGGAACAGTTTGGGTGATGCAGGGTGTGGAGAAACCCTAAAAACTGTGACCACAGCCATGCAGGTCTCTCTGAGGTCCAGGGCACCCTCTTCCCCTCACCCTCCCGGTGCCCACCACCAGGCACCCTGGGCCAAGGTGTGACTTCCCCTTTCCCTGAGAGCCTCCTAATGGCTCTCTGCTCCAGGCAGAGGGACAGTGCCATCCCCAGGGCCACAAGCCAAGCCCTCACCTGATGAAGAGGGTGCAGAGGATGAAGATGACCAGCCCCACGATGCTCGAAGCGTCCCACCAGGTTGTCGGTGCTTCTGCGGTCGTCGCTGTGCTGGTGCTGTTCCTCACCAGCAGAGTGGGGTTACAGCTCTGGACTGGGGGGAGGCACACAGGGGGTCAGCACCAAGGAGGGGACAAACACCTACCCCAGTGTGTGGTCCTGCCCCCTCATAGAATCATAGAATCAGAGAATCAGACAGGTTGGAAAAGACCTCCGAGATCATCAAGTCCAACCCTTGATCCAACCCCGCCGTGGTTCCCAGCCCATGGCACTGATGCCACATCCAGTCTCATCTTAAACACCTCCAGGGACAGAGAATCCACCCCCTCCCTGGGCAGCCCATTCCAATGGCTGATCAGCCTCTCTGGAAAGAAATTATTCCTAAATCCAACCTAAACCTCCCCTGGTGCAGCTGAAGACCCAGCCCTCTTGTCCTACTGCTGGTTCCTGGCAGAAGAGCCCAACCCCTACCTGGGTCCCCCCTCCTGGTAGGGAGTTGCAGAGTCAGGAGGTCTCCCCTGAGCCTCCTCCTCTGCAGTCTCAACACCCCCAGCTCCCTCAGCCTCTCCTCACAGCACTTGTGCTCCAGTCCCTTCCCAGCCTCGCTGCTCTTCCCTGGACCTGCTCCAGCCCCTCCATGGCCTTCCTGAGCTGATGGCCCAGAGCTGGACACAGCACTCCAGGGGTGGCCTCACCAGCGCTGAGTCCAGGCCAACAATCACTTCCCTGCTCCTGCTGCCACACTGTTCCTGAGCCAGGCCAGGATCCATTGGGCCTCTTGCCCCCCTTGGCACACTCCGGTTCCTGTTCAGCTTCCTGTCAATCCACTCTCCCAGCTCCCTTTCGGCCTGGCCTTAACCCAGGCCACATCCTGCTTACCTGGCACGTTGGCCAGGGCGGCCCAGGTGACGTAGATGGTGTAGAGGGTGATGAGGGACGCCTGCAGCAGCCCCGAGTGCGGCTGAGCCTCCTGCAAACACAACAGCGGGCGCTCAGGGCGGGCCTGCACCCCGCAGTGACACGGCCACCAGCCCCCTGGGAGCCACCTTCACCTGGATCTTGGGCAGGATGGACACCACGGAGACGATGAGGCACAGCAGGAGGTTGATGCTGATGAGGGCCTTGCCCTCGGTGCAGCCCTGGGGTTTGGTGTAGTAGACGTAGAGCAGCGCGACGGCCGCGATGGAGGCGGCGTAGAACACGAAGGTGACGGTGCAGAGGGCTGGGGGACAGGAGAAACAAAAACCTTAAATAGCTGGGCTGACGTAACATGGTGTGGAATATCTTATTGGCAGAAAACACATCAAATGACTTCTCCCGTTTCTTTTTTTCCCTCTCAGGGAGTATAATAAACCCATTACACTCACTTACACCATCCCCCAAATAAGGAACTGTACAATCTTAGAGAAGCTCTTGAGAATTAGGGATGTAAACAGATGGGATGTAAACTAAGCTCTGTGCACCCAAATAAAGAACAAACACTACACTTTTTGGTGGTGGAGCACAATGACCCTGTGCCTGCTCAAGAACTGATGAAGAAAAGGACCAAAGAAGGACTTCCAGTAGGGGTGTGACCATGTAGAGCAAACTAATGAATATGTATTAAGTAAGAGACAATACCCAATGAATCTGCTGGAAACAGTGTGTGTAATAAAAAGCCCTGTCCATCAGCCATTGGCACGTTGGGTTAGAGGAGCTCTCCTCTTGAATTAACATCTACAAGTTGGTGATAAGAAGTTTGTTTCTGCTGCTTTTCGGTATCGTTTTTGGCACCCCAGGTGGGACTGGAAACCACAATCCCCATAAAAATGGAAAACGCCTGTGCTGTGGGGTGTGCATTGTACCTTTGTGCACCTCGAGGCCTAAATTAATTAAAGAACTGCTTTCTACCTTCCTATACTCAAATTGTCCAGAGATTAGTTCTCTGATTTCAGGTGATGCAGGACACTGAAAGGAGAAATACAAACCTTACTCACAGCATCCCCCAAATAAGGAACTGTACAATCTTAGAGAAGCTCTTGAGAATTAGATAAGGGATGTAAACAAACAGGATGTAAACTAAGCTCTGTGCACCCAAATAAAGAACAAACACTACACTTTTTGGTGGTGGAGCACAATGGCCCTGTGCCTGCTCAAGAACTGAGGTTGAGGTGATGAAGAAAAGGACCAAAGAAGGACTTCCAGTAGGGGTGTGGCTAAGTAGAACAAACTAATGAATATGTATTAAGTAAGAGAGAATATCTAATGAATACATAAACAGTGTGTGTAATAAAAAGCCCTGCCCACCTGTCATTGGCTCGCTGGTTCAGAGGAGCTCTCCTCCTGAACAAAGAACGCCCTTTTTAGCTCCTACAAATTGGTGATAAGAAGTTTGTGCCGCTTTTCGGTATCATGGGGGAGGAAACAAAAAGGAAAGAGGCTGGAGCAGAACCCCCTAGGCCTGGCCAGCCCTGGGATGAGCCAAACCCTCCGTGGTGCTGCTGCACCCACCTGCGTACCAGCCCTTGGCGTTGCTCTCGCTCGCCTTGCCCAGCCACAGCTGGCTCCAGGAGTGGGCGAAGTCGATGAGGAGCACGAGCTGGATGAGGATGAAGAGGAAGGAGCCGACCACACCGAAGTAAAACCAGACTTGAGAGCAGAGAAAAACCAGTTAGGAACAGGGAGAGCGAGCCCTGGGGGCACAGGGGTTTAGCCCTGTGCAGAGGGCACAGCTCCTCACCCGAGGTGAAGGCCCCGTCGGGGATGTAGAAGGCGCCCACCGTGATCCCCACCAGCACCAGGAACTTGAAGAACCAGAAGCTGTGGGAGGAGAGAGGAGGCACGGTCTGCACCCTGCAGGGGTCCATCCCTTCCCCACCCCCCAGCACCCCGGGGCCGGGCACCCACCCGTTGTGCAGGGCGGCGCGGGGGTCCTTGCTGCTGCGCACGCACACCATGAGCACGGCGAAGAGGCAGAAGAAGGCGGCCATGGCGAAGCCCATCCGGTACACGGCCTTGTGGCCCAGGAAGCTCCTGCAGTTGACGTGGGTCTGGACCCCCAGCACAGACCCGCTGCCTTCACAGAAGCCCGGGAGCTGAAACGGTGATGGGAGGGTGAGCATCACCCCAGTGTGTCCCGACACATCCTACTGGGGATTGAAGATTGTGGGAGGGTCTTGAAGAGCTACTGTTTGTATTGAAGATCAGCTCCTGGACTGTGAAGCCCCCAGGCTGCCCAGAGAAACTGTGGCTGCTCCAGCCCTGGAAGTGTCCAAGGCCGGGTTGGACGGTGCTTGGAGCAACTTGGGATGGTGGAAGGTGTCCCTGCCCATGGCAGGGGGTTGGGACCCCCTCATTGAGATCCCTTCCAAACCATTCTGTGATTCCACAATTCTGTGATTCTTGGATTCCACATCCACTGCAAGCCCTGGTGCCACCAAACATGAGCCAGACCATGACTGCTCTAATGCCTCTTGCTTGGGGACAGTGGTGGGATGACACAGCTAAAGCCACCCTGCAGGTCAGTGAAAAGCTGGGATGAAACCAGCCTTTCCCAAAAGCCCAGCCCAGCAGCACCAGCTCAGCTGTCAGATCTCCTCTCCCTCCACCTGAAGTCACAGAATGACAGAATCACAGAGTCAGCCAGGGTGGAAAAGACCTCTGAGATCATCGAGTCCAACCTGTGACCCAACTCCACCTTGTTACCCAGCCCATGGCACTGAGTGACACGTCCAGTCTGTCCTTAAACTCCTCCAGGGATGGTGACTCCACCCCCTCCCTGGGCAGCCCCTTCCAATGTTTGATCCCTCTCTTTGTAAAAAATTTCTCCCTGATGTCCCACCTCCATGACTTGCAAGTCATCAGTTGAACCCCAAAAATGGGAGGTAGGAAACTTTCCCGGGAGACATCCAGGAACGAAATTATATCCCACTGCATTTTCCCCTCTGTGGAAAACCGGGGTTAACAACAACTTCTTCCAGAGAGGTGCTCAGACAAAGAGGAACAGAAGCACATCATGCCCCAAAAATTCCCTTTCTGCTTCAGCCTCACGTACTCAGCGGGAACTGAACTTCTTCCCAGTGACCTCCAGGAGTTATTTACCTTGTGCAGCTCCTTCTCCACGCCGGGGATTATCATGATGACGGACACCAGAGTGCCAAGGAAGAGGAAGAAGGTGAAGAGGAGGCGAGAGATGGTGGAGTTCTTGGCTGAGGGGCAGCAGCCGCAGAGCAGACACGGAGCAGAGCCACAGAGACAGGACACCTGCAACGAGAGCAGCCCCGTGGCAGAGGGGCACAAACCGGCCCCAAAACACGTGCCCAGGTTGATCCATAGGAAAACCTCCCAGGAATCCACATTGCTGCTCCAGGCGTTTTGCTCAGAGCTCCCCACCAGCCCATGAGATGTCACGGAAATGGGGCCAAACCACCCCCAAAAGGTGCTGAAAAAGAAAAGAGCTGCAGGAACTGACAACAACCAGCCAAGGTGGGAAAAGACACCGCGAGTCCTGGAGACACCTACGTGTTTTTTGCTCCATGCAAGGCTCCAGTCTAACCAAGTCCTGCCCTGCAGGAGCCTCATTTCAGTGCAGAAACACGTTTGCAAAATAATTTCAGAAGGGGGAAACATGGATTTCAGCACCCTGGGGAAAGCAGCTCATTCTGCCACCCTTCCCCTCCCCAAAGGCCGCTTTGTAGGCAGGGAAACTGAGGAACAGCATCCCCAGGAGCCCATGGTGGGTCCTGAATTCCCAAATCGAGCACGGGCAGCGCTGCCAAGTGTACCCTGCTCCGGGAGGTTCCATTGCTCGGGACCCAAGGAAACCCTGGCTTAACAAAACCTGACCTTACTGCCTTGCAAAACATCAGCAGGGGTTTCCTGCACAGGGGTGGTGTAGAATAAGGCTTGGAGGGGGGGAAAAGGAATGTTCTATTAAACTGTATTCTCAGATTTCCCTGGGTCCTGCAATCCATCATCGTTTGAAACCCAGAAGCTGGGCTGGGCTGGGCTCAGCTGGGTTGAGTTCAGTTGGGTTGAACTGAGTTGTGTTGGGCTGAGTTGGATTAAGTTGGATTGGGTTGATTTAGGCTGGGTTGGGTTGACTGGGGTTGGGTTGGGTTGAATTGGGTTGGATTGGGTTGATTCGGGTTAAGTTGGGTCAGGTTGCACTGAGTTAAGTTCATTTGGATTGAGTTGGGTTGAGTTTGGTTGGGTTGGGTTGAGTTTTGCTGCTCCAGTAAACACCATTCTCACCAGTTTTTCCTCTGATTTGGATACTCTCAGGGTGTGGGAAAGCCCCAATCACCTGCCTTAGAGGAAGAAAAGGTGCAGGGGTTTTCATAACAGGTTTTTAAACCTGTGATGGGTCAGGAGCACTGGATACAGGCACAGCCAGCCCTGACTGTGCCATCTGATCAGGGTGGGGAGGATTTTCAGCCTCTTCATCCCCCTCACCAGCCCTGGGATCTCCTGGCTCGCTGCCAAGCCCTGAAACCCCTATTTTCCCAAAACAGGGAGAAGTTGGACAATAAATAGGGCATTTTTCAGCAAGAGAATGGAAGAAGCATTTTGGGGGTGGGCCTTTCACTGCTGGGTCACTAATCCTCCATGTGAAGGTTCCATGTCAAATATTTGGGGAAACAATAGGAGAATAAGGTGTCTCTCCAGTTTGGATTGAAGATGTTTGGTTGGGGAAGTAAAACCAACATCCCACATCAAGGCAAAGCAGGTGGTGGTGCCCCCCCAGCTGCTGAACCAGGGTCACTGTGTGAATTACCAGGTTAAAGTGCTAAATAAAACCTTAAAAGACCCAAAAACTAAATTAAAATTGAATTCCCAACTCTGCTCCACTCCCCATGGTGGGAGAGGGAACAGCAAAATACACCCCAAGGGTGAAATATTCCCTAAAACAGGGAAATTTCAAATATTCCCTATAATAAGGAAATTTCAGGCTATTTCCTTCTTTTTCTAACCCTCACTGAAGCTACCACAAACCCACAACCTCCTTTGTCCCACCCAGCAGTCCAGGGAACAACAAGAAATTCCCCTGCAGGCGCTGGAAGGAGTTTATTTCAAATACTGCTTTCCAAATATTCACCTCTGCATTCCCAAATATTTCAAAATTTACAGCACTGGGTGTTTTGAGCTCCTGTATCACTTCTTAGGAAATCCTGTGACCATCTCAAGCTCCTCAGTAAACAGCTTTCCCCCCATTCACAAGATAATTTCATTGATTTATTTTGCTTTGATATTTCATTTCTTTCCCTTGGAACGGCCCTTCCCCTCCTGCACTGGAGCCCATCAGCCACTCAGAGGCAGGAGGAGGGCCCAGCTCTGTCCCACTATTAAGAGATATGCCCTGTTGTGTGCTTGTTATGGGTATGAACCTCCTAATTATGCCCTGCAATCGATACTAATTAAAGATGGCTCAGCAACAACTCAAAACACACATTTCTCAGCATTAAAATCAGTGCAGAAAAAGGACATGGCAGAAAACAAAACCTGCAGTGTGAGCAGGTCACTTCCCTCAGCAGGGATGCTCAGGGAGGTTCACAAAGGATCACTTTGATGCCTCCAAATCACTAGAGGTGGCTTTGATTTACTTGATCTGATTTTGATTTGATTTTATCATCGTTTGAGAAAAAATCCCCTCCTTCCTGATTTATTCCTCTTTACCCCCATCCCAGCCCCACAGCCCCACCCTATGGGTGGTACCCATAGGAGTCAGGATGGGTCAGAGAGTCCCTGGATCCCATGGAGACCCTCATTCCACCTCTCCAGGAGCTGCTCGAGGGGCAGAACTTCACGTTTTCAACTTGGAAGCCCATGAAAATGGCCTTCAATTAGAGATGGCTTCCTTTCAGACTCATTAAATGCACCACTCGCAGCAGAGTGCATTTAAAAGGCACCAGCCGTGCCGTGTTTTCCCTTGCAAATTAAAAAACAAATAGAGAACAGCATTAAAAATCCCTTTTAGTGCAGAACTCCTGCATCATTTCACCTGATGTAGCACAGCACCCCAGTGCACCATCCATCCTTCCAGCTCCTCTCCCTTCGGTGCCAACTGAAACAAAAAGCACCAATCCCAGAATCCCAGAATCTGGCCAGGAAAAGTGTGAGGTTTGGTGCTGTTGAGGAAGTTGTGGGTTTGGGGGTTCAGCCCCCTGTCCAAGCACCACTGAAGACCTGCAGGAGGCAGAGCCTCAAGTGTCAAGTTTTCCTCAGGGTCGGTGCAGGGGGAGGGAGGGCACAGGAGTGTCCAGAGGGCCAGGATGGAACTGAAGGGAAACCTTTGCTCCATGTGCAGCCTCCAAACCCTCTGGGTGACCCCTGGGACAGCTGCAGGGGGACAAATTGGTTTGGGTTGGAAGGGACCTCAAAGCTCATCTCACTCCATCCCCTCTATGGGCAGGGACACCTTCCACCAGCCCA